TATACTCCTTCATTTCATAAGAACACAGAATAGTGGCTGGCCCTAAGATGAGGTGACTTTAGCCAGTGGAAGCAGAGAACAGCCACTCTCTGTCCAGCAGGAAGGAAAAACAGAAAAAGAGGATGGCTGAGTGAACAGTGAGATATCTCTAACTCAGAATCAGACAGTGTGAGTTCAGGTCTCCTTCCATCCCACTGCTTTACTTGCCACATTCTTTTGAGCAGAATCAGGAGGAAGAGGAATTAAGTTCAGACAAGATTTGAGTATGAGGTGAGGGTCTAGGGGAATTAAGGTAAAAGCAGCCTGAATCAGACAATGGGTGTAGAAACAGGAGTTGGCAAATCTAGGAGAGGCCAGGTGAGAAAACTTAGAGAGGTGACTTTGTCCCATGTGCTCTTTGTTGACAGCACTTCATAGAACTTGGACTTGAGAGATTAGAATTCAAGAGGCTGTTGATTTCCACTGAGGTACTTGGCCTGAATTTAGGGTAAGCTGCCACCAGTGAGACTTTCATCATAGTGTTCAAATAGTCTGACTGCAGTTAGAGCACGGGTAACTATAAACTTATAAATGAATTCTAAATATAGAATATAAAATAACTAAGAAAAATATAAAATTATAGTTATATAATTATATATATATCATCTCTTTCTGCTTACTGTTTTTATTAAACTTGCACCCCCATATACAACTCAATTTAAAAATTAAGAAGGCCGGGCTCGGTGGCTCAGCCTGTAATCCCGTGCTTTGGGAGGCCGGGGTGAGTGGATTACCTGAGCCCATGGGTTCAAGACCCACCTGGGCAACTTGGCGAGACCTCATCGCCACAATAAATCAAAAATCAGCCAGCCGTGGTAGCGCGTGCCTGTAATTCTGGCTACTCGGAAGGCTGAGGCGGAAGGATCGCCGGAGCCCAGTAGATCGAGGCTGCGGTGGCCGGGAGCGGCCACTGCACTCCAGTCTGGGCGACAGAGTGAGACTCCAACTCAAAAAAAAATTAAGAAAACTGAGTTTGGAAAACAATAGCTTTATAAAACTATACAGAGAAACCAGTTCCTAGCTACCTCATAGCTCTTTTTTTCCACTAAGGCCAGACTCAAATGACTCTTGCTCTTCTCCCTGATGATTTCAGTGAGAGAAAATCTTGCCTTTTTGCTTCACCTGCTTGATTTGATGGCTACACTCTTCTCTCCCCAAAAGGTATTTGTGGCTCAGCCCTGTCTTTGCACCCCAGCGCTCTTCTGTAGCTCTGCACTGCCGATGGAGCTAAGGGAGGGGAGCTCTGGACTGGGGTTGAAGGTGCGTGAGTCTTTCTACTCTAATACCGATTCCTGGTTTCACTCTATTATAGAGGATGTGTATATTATAGAGGATTTATCGATAGTAAAATGCCTCTCTGGATTTGGTTTTCCTCTTCCCTCCGTGGATAAGAAGCAGGTAAGAAGGAAAAACTCATATAGTTTCTTTTTTTTTTTTTTTTGAGTTGGAGTCTCACTCTGTCGCCCAGAATGGATTGCAGTGGCCGCTCCCAGCCACCGCAGCTTCGACCTGCTGGGCTCCAGCGATCCTTCCGCCTCAGCCTTCCAAGTAGCTGGAACTACAGACGTGCGCTACCACGCTCGGCTATCATATAGTTTATTGATGCAACAGATACACCCTAAAGGGAGTAAAAACACACCAAAGGGTAGTGCTGACAAGGCCCAGGTAATGCTGGCTCAGCAAAACCAAACTTGGAAAGAGCTCAGTCTTCAAATCCTTATGGATAATGTCATTCTTTTAGGATGTTTTCATTAATGAAACATTTAAACATATGCAAAAGTAAAGAAAATAGTACAAATAACCCCCTTGTACCCATCACCCAGCTTTAACAGTTTCAACACTGTCATTCTTGCTTCATCGTTTCCTCTCACATGGCTGTTTCTTTTTGTTTCTAGACTATTAAAAGCAAATTTCAGATAGATTATTTCACCCATAAATACATCAATATTTATCTCTAACAGATAAGGACTTGTTTTTTAACACAACTGCATACCAATATCACATCCAACAAAAATAATTCCTTAATAGCAAATAATCTGTGCTCAGTTTTCTCCAGTTGTCTAAAAAAAAAAAATGCCTCTTTTCTGTCTTTTCTAATCAGGATTCAGACAAGGTTTATACATTGCATTTGGTTGGCATGTCTTAAGTCTTTTATAACAGTTTCCACTCCCCTGTGCTATGTATTTCATGACATTTATTTGTTGAAGAAACTGGGTCATTTGTCCTGCAGAATTAGTCACATTGGCTGACTGTATCCTCATGGGGTCGTTTCAGTTCTTCAAAGATAATATCATATGTTGAAATACCCGGGGTAGGTATTCTTAACTCAGACTGCACATCAGCATTGCCTGGGAAGATTTTAAACATTTCAGAATTCCTGACCCTTCGCCTGGTGATTCTGATTTTGCACATCTACGGGACAGCCCAGGAAGGTGTTTTAAATTGCCCAAGTGATTCTGATGTGCATCCCCCAGTTGAGAACCACTGACCTTGATAGGTTGGGCTTTTCTCAAAAGGGCTATTGATTATCCGATAATAATATTAAGGAGAAGGAAGAGAAGGAAAAGGAAGTGGAGGAGGAGTCGTACATACTTACTGAGTACTTAGCACTAGTTTAGATTGGGATAGCAGATTGGTATAGTGTCATTGAGAGAAAAATATGAAATTCAATTTATACATGTATCGGTTTAGAACAGGAAACCAAAACCCTGACTATAAAAATGTAGCAGACTTCAACTCCAAGACCTAGCCCATGTCTTAACTCCTTGTCCTCCCAAGCAAACATAATTGAGAAATCCCAGATCATTGGTGGAAATGAAGAGGTGATGGGAATCAGACCCTCCTTCCAGAATGACTTCCCAGAGCCTCTGTGGGCTCCCCATCTTTCCCTCTGTTCTGAACTTCCTGCCTCAAAGATGTATTCCACTTAGTACTACAGATCAATTTCTTTTTTTTGAGTTGGAGTCTCATTCTGTCGCCCAGACTGGAGTGCAGTGACACGCTCCCGGCCATCGCAGCCTCGACCCGCTGGGCTCCGGCGATCCTTCCGCCTCAACCTTCCAAGTAGCTGGAACTACTGGCGCGCGCTACCACGCCCAGCTAATTTTTTTTGTTTATTGTAGAGATGAGGTCTCGCCAAGTTGCTCAGGCATGTCTCAAACCTGCAGGTTCAGGCAATCCACTCACCTCAGCCTCCCAAAGCGCGGGATTACAGGCTGAGTGCCCGAGCCCAGTCTACAGATCAATTTCAGTCTTTGTAGGTCTACTTGTAAACAATAGAAAGACTGAAATGAAAGATAATGCCAAATAAATTAAAATGTTACATTCAGCACATAAGATAAATTCCTATTTGGCATATAAAGAAAGCTATATTCTACCATAATTTAAAGAAAAATAGTATATTTCTGTCCTCTTAGATAAGTGTTTCACAGGCATTTAAAGAGTATCAGTTTGAAAGGATACACTTTTTTTTTTCTTGAGTTGGAGTCTCACTCTGTTGCCCAGGCTGGAGTGCAGTGGAACATTCACAGCCACCCCAGCTCGACCTGCTGGGCTCCAGCAAACCTTCTGCCTCAGCCTTCCAAGTAGCCGGAACTACAGGAACGTGCTACCACGCCTGGCTAATTTTTTATTTTAATTTTTTTTGAGTTGGAGTCTCACTCTGCCGCCCAGACTGGAGTGCAGTGGCCGCTCCCAGCCACCACAGCCTCAACCTGCTGGGCTCCAGCGATCCTTCCACCTCAGCCATCCAAGTAACTGGAACTACAGGCGCGCGCTACCACACCCAGCTAGTTTTTGATTATTGTAGAGACAAGGTCTCGCCGAGCTGCCTGGGTGGGTCTCGAACTCGCGGACTCAGGCAGTCCTCTCTCCTTGGCCTCCCAAAGTGCTGGAATGGCAGGTTGAGCCACCGAGCCCGGCCAAAATACAGGATTTTTAATTCATAAATTGGATTAAAAGTTAAGTTTGTCAATAGCATATGTTGACAAGAGCATGAGGAAGTGGATTCTCTTGTGGAAGTATAACTTGATCACGCTGCAGGTCAATTTGACAGTATCTATTGAAATTTTAAATGCCTACACTTCTGACTCAGCCCTTCGACTTCCAGAACCTAATCTGAAGAAACAGTAGTATGTATGGCCAAAACTGTCTTACAAAGAAGGTCTTTCGTTCATCCATTTAGTCAGTGAATATTCACTGATTGCCTACTGTGTACCAGACACAACTTTAGACACAGTAGGAGCAGGAAAGAAAAGATTTTGCTTTGAAGAAGTTGAAGTTTCAGTGGGAAGAGACAGAACAATAAACAAATGAACAATCTAAGGAAAAAATGACTAGGGGGGTGAGGGGAGGATGAGAAAAAAACAAATGACTAAATCAGATAAAATTAGGCAGTAATAAGTACTAATAGGGGCCAGGTACAGTGGTTCACTCTTGTAATCCTAGCATTTCGGGAGGCAGAAGCAAGAGGGATTGCCTGAGCCCAGGGATTCGAAACGAGCCCGGGCCACATGGCAAGATCTTGTCTCTATAATAAAATAAAATTTAAAAATTAGCCGAGTGTGGTGGCGTACACCTGTAGTTCCAGCTATTTGGAAGGCTGAGGTGGAAGGATCACCTGAACCCAGCAGGTTGAGACTGCAGTGGCCATGAGTGTGCCACTGCACTCCAGCTTGGGCAACAGAGTGAGACTTCAACTCAAAAAAAAAAAAAAAAAACTATTAGGAAATATTTAATACAGCATCATAATGAGAAAAATTGGAGCTCACTTAAATGTCCCTCAAGTGGGAAATAGTTTTAAATAAAAATAACTGGCTGGGTGCGGTGGCTCAGCCTGTAATCCCGCGCCTTTGGGAGGCTGAGGTGAGTGGATTGCCTCAAGACCCGCCTGAGCAACTTGGTGAGACCTCATCTCTACAATAAATCAAAAATTAGAGGGGGGAGGGCCCGCGCGTGAGCGGCGGCAGCGGCGCCCGCAGTTCCATCCAGTGCGTGACTGCTCGCCTTACCGACTCGGTCGTTATGCCGAAGAGAAAGTCGCCAGAGAATCCAGAGGGCAAAGATGGATCCAAAGTAACTAAACAGGAGCCCACAAGACGGCCTGCCAGATTGTCAGCGAAACCTGCCCCACCAAAACCTCAACCTAAACCACGAAAAACATCTGCTAAGGAAGAACCCGAAGCAAAGATTAACCGAGCTGCTGAAGGGCAGAAGGAGGAAAAACTGGAAGCTGGAAAGAAAGGTACTGCACCGTCTGAAAATGGTGAAACCAGAGCTGGAGAGGCACAGAAAACTGAATCTGTAGATATTGAGGGAGAATGAATTGTCATGAAAAATTAGGGTTGATTTTATGTATCTCTTGGAACAACTTTTAAAAGCTATTTTTACCAAGTATTTTGTAAATGCTAATTTTTTCAGGACTCTGCTAGTTGGCATACAAAAATATATAAGGATGGACATTTTACCCTCTCATAGTCAGGCTTTTTGGAAATTTCCATCATCCTTAAGTAAAATAAATATCAATTTAATATTGGAAGTTGTGTGTAAACTTGATCCAGCATTCTATACACCTGGTTTAAAATTTTAGTCCTGTGCATACTGTGGTGTTTTTACTGTGCATATTTGAATTTTTTCATGCAGTTTTTCTAGAGCAATAATCAGTGGTGCTTTTGTACCTAGGTTTTATGTGATTTTAATGGAACATGGATAGTTGTGGCCACCTGCTGACTACTTGTGGTTTAAAATAAAAGGTTTTGTCTGCAAAAAAAAAATTAGCTGGGCGTGGTAGCACGCGCCTGTAGTTCCAGCTACTCGGAAGGCTGAGGCGGAAGGATCGCCGGAGCCCAGCAGGTGGAGGCTGCGTTGTCCGGGAGCGGCCACTGCACTCATCTGGGCAACAGAGTGAGACTCCAACTCAAAAAAAAAAAAAAAAAAAAAAAATCTAAACTATCTACCTATACTATGGAATATTATCTAGCATTTTAAAAGGATGAAATATGTTTATATGTACTGACATTATGAGTTTGCTAAGACATAATAAAATTAAATTTAAAAAGAGACAAAACATAAAAATTTTCATTTCAGATGTAAAATTTAATTCCACTTGTGTAAAAAAATTAGCACCTAGTGATATACATGTACATATGAATGGAAGTGAAAAGTTCCAGAAGAATACACAGCAAATGGGCATTAGTGATCATTTCTAGGTAGGGGATTAAGATGTCAAGGGACAGTTGAGGGAAATTCTTGCTTTTTCTGTATGGTTTGAATCTTTTTACAATGAAAACGTTTTTATAAATGCCTCACAAATGAAAAGGAACAAAATAGCTGTTACAGAACATAGAAAAAGATGAAAAGCCTCCCAATTCAATTTACAAAACTAGCACAACCCTGATATTTAAACCTGACAACGTTAGCAGAAATAAAAAGACTAGAGATCAATTTCACTTATAAATATGGATGGAAAATTCCTATGTAGAGCATTAGCAAATAGAATACAACAGTAGATAAAAAACCATGACTAAGCAGGGTTTATTCCAGAATCACAAGGATGGATGAATATCAGCAAATCTGGTAATACAATTTATCAAGACAATCAGTACTGCTCTTGGACCTGGGCAGCAGAGGCCCCCATGCTGGCCCGCCTCCTGTTTCCTCCAAAGGGTAAAGCATTCCTGTTGGCCAATGAGACTTGTCCTGTGTTTCTCTTCCCTTTTAGACCATACGTTCAGGTACCAGCCCATTTCCAAGACTAACACTGGCCTGTTGCCTGATTCCATCCCCTCAAAGGTGAATCTTACACCATAGTAGCACCTAGACCTGAGGAATGGCAGAAGTGAGACTGTGGGTGATGGAGGAGCAAGTGGGTGGAGGGTAGATGCGTGGCCTGGGTGTCCATAGCTCTGCACTTGAGGCCCCTCATGGTACAGGATGTCGAAAGGGATGGGAAGAGGAGGGTAATGGGCTATGGCCTGAGATCAGGGATAGCAGATTCTCTCCTGTGCTTCCATATTCTAGCATGATATTCTAAGGAGTATGAGAATTCTAAATTTGAACCTGGCTTCTCAAGTTGTTATGAAGGTAAGTATCAATGCAGGAAACTAGAACCTATTTTATTTAATAGTTTGACATTTAGTTAATAATTTCTATATATTTAGACATATAGCAGGACAGGTTTCCATTTGTACTATTGACCCAGGACCCACAGTTGCTAAGGGTAGCCCAATAATAACAAAACCCAGGGGGAGAAAGAATAATAATACCCCAAATAGAAAAGACACCGGTGAGATGAGTTGAGAGGAAAGAGACATTGTAAGAGTGAAGATAGAAATGGAGACATTCTAAAAGTCCATCACTAGTCACTTAAGATATGTTTACCTGTCTTCTCTTGGCCAGGTAGGATGAAGAATTACCAGTGTAAGGAGGGGTGAAGAAAAGACCCTATGAATTTTGGAACTTTGAAACAATGAGAGTAGGGACAGTCATCTATGAGTTGGGAGCATTTTTCTGTCTCTAGAAATAGAGATTTCAATGTATATTATTTAAGGCCCACTGTTTCTATTATTTTTTGGCAAAATTCACTAGAATTGACCCTTTACTGCTCAACTATACAGCAGGTACCCATCCTGTGTTCTTAGAACCTGAGGACTCGAACCCACTGGCTCAGGCAGTTCACTCACCTCGGCCTCCCAAAGTGCTGGGATTACAGGCTAAGCCACTGAGTCTGGCCTATTTTTTCTTTTTAAATGGCTTTATTAAGGCATAGTTTACCTGTAATAGAATCACCCATTTTGAAGATAGTTAGACAAGTTTTAGTAAATGTCTACCGTTGAGCAAGTGTCATCAGAATCTAGTTTTAGAATATTTTTATCACCTCAAAACTTTCTTTTGTGCTCATTTGCAGTCAATCCACCCTAAGCCCCAGGCAATCATTGATCTGCTTTCTGTCTCTACAGTTTTGTCTTTTCTAAAATTTTTTCCTAAATAGAGTCACAAAATGTGTGCTTTTTTGTGTCTGTCTTCTTTCACTTGGCGTAATATTTTTGAAGTTCATCTCTGGTGTAGAATGTGACAGTGCTGCATACTAAAATGGTATTTAGATAATTACTAAATAGTATTCCATTGTATGGATATACCATATTTTGTTTATCAGTTCATCAGTTGATGACATTTGGGTTGATTCCAGTTTTAAGCGATTATGAAAAATGTAACTATGAACATGTGCTACTAGTCTTTGTATGGACATGTGTTTTGCTTTCTCTTGTGTATATACCTAGGAGTGGAATTACTGGGCCATATGTAAGTCTATGTTAAAACATTTAAGAAGCTGCCAAACCATTTTCTAAAGTAGCTGCATCATTTAAAGTCCCACCAGCAATGACTGAGGGTTCTGGTTTCTTTACATCCTCACCAACACTTAATACTGTCAGTCTTTTTCATTGTAGCCATTCTAGTGGGATATTTCATTGTTGTTTTAATGTGTGTTTTTCTAACATATAATGATGCTGAGCATCTTTTCATATGCTTATTTGTCATTCCGACATTCTCTTTGGTGAAGTGGCTATTCACATCTTCTGCCCATTTTTTAAAAATTGGAAGTTGTAGCCGGGCTCGGTGGCTCAGCCTGTAATCCCGCGCCTTTGGGAGGCTGAGGTGAGTGGATTGCCTGAGCCCG